ATGACATATTTCTTTCAGTCGATCGTCCGTGACTGCCAGATGTTGCACTGTTTCTCTTCCCTCTAGTTTCCGTCTCCAAGCACGATCTAACAACTGATGGTTAATATGATATTTAGCATAGTATTACCTTCTTTTAGTTTTTGCAGTTCATAATATTTGATGTCTTATTTTTTGTATTGTAGCACATTAGCTGAGGTGTCTCTCACCCTCAGCTATCGTGTATTGATGATGATGATGATGATGCTGTGCCAGGTTAACTGCTTCGATCTCTTTCGGATGATGCTCGGATGCTCGAAAATAAGCTCCTGACGGCGTATAAACGATAGACTGATGTGCACAAGGTATATGTGCGCACAATATCCATTTAGTGTTTTTGAAGAAATGGATAAGCATACGTTGAAGGCGACGGGGAACATTGAACAGCGGTTTGCTGGTTATCGAGACAAGCAGTTTACACAGTTGTCTCTCTACCGAAAGCACAATCGCTGAAACGCTCCATGACAGACTATCGTGAGCATCTCCTCGGCATGCGCATAGAGCTGCTCAGTCACCGTCAGTGCACGACTGAGGAAATCCAAAGGTTTTGCACCCCGTAAGAGACCAGAACTTTTTCGTTCTGGCTACTGTCAGACTGTACCTCCAATAGCTGAGCTGAATATTGATATCCGCGCATAGGCACGTTACTGATAAGGTGCTTAATACTTGCAAACGCGGTTTCCTGTTCCTTACCTCAACTTCCCTTTACTCATTTGTGAGATAGCTTCTTGATCGGTGTCACGATATCAGCGAGTCTCGGAAGAAAATGGCTCAAATAATTCTCCATACATTTAAACGATGGATTCCCTTCACGTCGTTAGAGGGCAGCATCTCTCGCATTGCCTTGATATTTCCTGAATGAACCGTGATTCCTTGTTAGCACAGGGACAACCACCTCGTTCACCCGAAACTAAATTTTCGCATGTTAAAGCTTGATGTTATCTAACGCATAACGTTCCAAGAAACAGTGAAAATTAGCGTCATACTCTTCTTCCGTCGGGTCATAGATCAAAAGATCGTTTGCCACACGTTACACCATCTAAATCGGCTACCTCATGCAACAACAACAATTTAGCTCGAAAGTTTCGAACCAAATAGTAAACGCAGCCAACGACAAGGCCGAACAACGTGACAAAGGTCGTAAGACTGGATTTTTCAGCTAGAATCTTGTTCCAGAAACTGGAAAATAGGCCTATTGTCGCAAAATACTTAGCTTTGGCGAAATTCGACATAAGGTCTTCTGAGGTCGGTAGCGCATAATGTTCTTCACAGGGCCTCATTTAACGCGTTCGGGTCAATGAACTCACGCAGTTCGCCCGTTCTATTCGTAATGACCGTGACCTGACTAACCCAATCGCTCGGTCCGCTAACTTTGGAAATCACACCCTCCCCCACTAATTTGCTCAAATCAGCACAGAAGCTGCCACATAGCGCAAACGAAAGTTTCTCAGCCGAAAGTGCAGTCGGTTGTATCAAGGAAGCTAACGACAAGTGAGCGGTTTCCCCAAATTTTCCAAAACTCTGACTAAACACAGAAGGATATTGGTGACTAACATCTGTTTCTCTTTAGCCAGCATGTAGGAAAAGATCATGGCTAAAAATAATAAATCCAAGAGACAATTTAATCAATGTCCAGAATCGGCGTGAGCTCCTCTTTCGCGACCACAAACTCCAGTCGACGTAAAGGTCCGTCCCTTGAGTTAGCCACTTCGACTGCAGCTAAGAACTTCGGATAAAGTCATGAGCCATTCCATATGCGCAAAGAATTTTGCTCGGATAGGATGTACATCCCCGGACAGTGTTTTCTGGGTAGAACGTTGACAGTAAGACCTGTGTCTAATAGAAATCGTACAGCACTGCCTCCAAAGAAAACATTTATGCAGACATTTTTGTAGGCGTTTCCGAGATACACTGCCAATTGTATGTTCTGAATCTGCGGGTGACTTATAATGAACGAGGGCACTCACATTGGTCGATTAACAGTAAGAAGCCAAGTGGATCATTTCTCCGTACTTGGCACATTTCCGTTCGCATGCCGGACACTGTTCGCGGCTGCTCGGGTTTCGCGCGGTGTAAAATTGACAGAGCTTCTACCTCACGTTTGTGGCTTCGTGGTTTTGTCCTCAGAAACGGCACACAATTTTGAGTCAGTTGCGAATTCCATTTGCTGGTAGAGATAAGTGGTGAAGGACTCACTGTTGCAGATGTCGATGCACTGCGGAAGTGATAAGTTGCATTGGCGCAAAATCCGTTCAGCCGTACCTTGGTCATTGATTCCTAGTACAATCCAATCGTGTGAGACTGGCGCCCATGCATTTACAGAAATTGCAGGACCGAGCCGAAACCTTCAACTCAGCGATATACGCGTCGACGGAGTCATTTGAGTATCTGCCTCATGAAAAGAAAAAGTAGTGCTGGTTGGTCTCGTTGGTTTGGCCTTCGCAAAATTCACCGAAATTAAGAAAACTGTCTTTTCGTTGTAGCGCGATGTCTCTAGCACACGGCGTCGTTATCCCCGGCTGCGTGTCGAAACATGGCCAAGTGATGGTCCATCGGTTGTTCCTACAAATGCACTAGTGTGCAAAATTCCATCCACTTGCTCCTACATAGACGTCACTTACTCGCCAAATTCCGTTCAGTCATGCTCAATGGAGCAGCCATCCGAACAGTCGATTTTGATCTAAGCAGCACCAGAGTGAAGCTGATGAGGTTCGTTTTGGTCTTCTATGACAGCATGTTGCAGAACTCTGTCTTTCAGGGACAAGTGTTTACTCGACAAAGTCAACTCAGCGAAAATTACAGCGTGCCAAACTCCATAATGTTTGTGGTTCGTTCAAGTCCATAACTTACGACCATTCTGAGTCGATGAGATTCCTCCCAGTTAAACAAACGGTGAGCAACCCCCATGAACGTCGGCCAATCCGTGCCCAGTGATTGAAGCCGTTACATCCGTCTGCCATTGGTTATCCCGCTCGTTCGTTTGATCCATGCGATCACTCTGAAATGACGCTCCCATCACAGCAATGATGTTTCGCTGTCACGCAACCAGTACCAGTCCCGCGTGGGCTGCCCATACCGCGATGTTGCCCGCACCTACACGAATTCGAACTTGCGATTACAAAGTAAGCACACGATCCATTCGGGCACCAACCGCGAGCGCTAGTGATTTCAAGCTACTCGCATGTCTCACATCAAAGTAGGAAATTTAAGACAGAGAGAATTTAAGTAATACTGGCTTCGATAGCATTTCCAAACCAGAACAAAGTCACGAATAAACAATCTGAAAGTGCAGTCTACCTGGACGTGAAAACTGCTTCCGAGTGACATGAACTCTCTGTTTTGGGGCCTTCATAGCCGAATGGTGTGGGTGACGAGGTGGATTTGTCCAATGAGCCAGTGTGATATCCATCAGAACTACTATACATAATCGTTAATCTTTACTTCCTTGATAACAGCATCTTTGGTGAGCAATTCGTGTCGGCCTCGATGAAAGCTAGAAAAGACAACCAATTGATAAAGTGGGCAGAAGACATACTTCTTTGAACGTGATTCAATGTACACGCCAGAACAGTTGAATAAACAGCCAGTATTTGCATGTAACAGGTTACACTTCGCACTCTCGAAGTGTAAGGTAGTACACTGACATTATGTCGGCACTGCCCGAATTTGAGAGTCACTTGGCTAAACAGTTGTATCATCTCTGGTGGTTATTATGTGAATCGATGTCATTTGCATGTGTGTTGAATCAGTCATGTATAGGAAATTCGAGGTACTAGCTTGTCTGTCGAGGGCAGAAGATATGGTGATGGGGCATGAGTTCCGTTAACACATGGAGAAAAAACATGAGAGCTTCGTGTTGTAGACCAGCACAGACTCTTATGAAACATTTCATATACATTGGGAGCACAAACTCTGCGAGACTAGTTGGTGTCAGGTATCAGACCGTGTCGCGTCGTACCGAACGACCTTGTGAATTCAAACTTCTCTGGCTGACCAGACAGCATTCTTAAGAGCACCGAATGCAAGTCCCAGTAACCGCTGGGTGCTTTGGTCGCAACTGATTGAGCAAAGCAAGAGTCAGTCGTTGAAATGATAAAAAAGACACCAACAGTGTGCGGGTAAGTCGTGAGTACGCTTCGCAATCACACGAACACCAGCTGTCGCGTGCAGACTAGAGATATTATGAGATTGCTAGTACTCAAGCGGATCACAACTGGTGACACGTGGATTACAAGCCGGATGCGCGAACCACAGCCAGGTGATCACAAAGCGCACATGGTAAAATGGCCAAATAGCTTAGTCTGACTGATGCAGTCTTCATGGAGACTCTGTTGGTGATGCTGCAATCCCAAAGACAATAGCACCATTGTAGTTGATTTTTACAAGATGTTGATTCGAAGGATGCAACCCTTGTACGTCATATGTCCTAGAACTAGATCTTTGGCTGAGTGTTATTTGCTGAACTATGCATTGCTATCGAATAGCAATTTTGTGGCGACCTGATCCAAGTCAAATAAATCCATCACACACGTGTGTAATTACTATGGACAGATATAGCAAACTAGCTGAGCAGAACTGATCATAAGGTCAACAATGAAAATCGTGGCGCACCGTAGCTGAGTTTGGGGGGACCATGGCAGTAGAGCATTATTTATTTTGGAAATCGCAAAAGAGGCTAAGGAAAGAGCAAACTGAGTGAATTGCGAATTGTATGATATACGATGTAGTCTTTTATCACAAAGGACCTAAATTCATATAAGAAGGGCACTCTAACTGTAAATAAGTGTAATGAAATAGGTATACCGCGAGGAGTCGCGATGGCCTAATAAAGCCACCATCAGCAGTTTGCGTGAAAAAGGTCAGTTCAAGTCATGGAGTTGCTGAAAACTGAACGTAAAGTTGAAAGAATATTCCGAACATGGACACCAGCATGCCTAATGTGAAGTCGTTTAGACCCAACGTACCTGGAGGATAAGGTTGTGGTGGCGGAGTTGGCGTAGTCTTCGGTAACGGAACTTTGGAAAAAACTGGTGGTTTCTCTCCAAAAACCACTTGCAACACGTTAAGCAAACCAAGCAAATCCGATGCAGGCTGGAATAAAAAAAGGTAAGAAAGGGAAGCTGATGGAAAAAATGAAACAGCAGCTGTGAGAATCAATAGTGTGTTGACGCAGTGATGAGACAAGCCACTACATTTTGAAGGTGCTAAGTGCATACTGGTAGGTACCACCTGCGCATTTTATAGCGCTATCATCTGGGCTGGAGTATATTCCGCTGTAGTGAAAGATGCTACCATGTCATGGAAGTACATCGGGAATCAAAAGTGACATACACAAAATCTTTCCGGGCATCAGGTTAAAAGAAATGTGAGAGGTGGAGCAGCCTGGCCCAACACTGCGGAAGTTGTAATGGAAGTTTCCGACTAAGAAGGAAATAAGTTAGTATGACATACAGCAAAAGACAACCAAATTAGCATGAACAATCCACCGAAGCAGAAGTCGCGTTCAAGTCGACGAGTGATAACAGTGGGTCAGCTGTAGGTAGGGACAAGTTCAAGGCTAGAAGGCACAAACACTGATAATAAGAACAAGAACAACAAAAACAATAACAACAACAACAACAAAAACGGTAATATTAATAGATTAGCCATTTTAACTGATGCACTGGAACCGTGTGAATGCAACGGCTAACGGAAGGAGAATCGGAACCTAGCGTACAACCTTAATGCTCTAAGCAAAGGTTCAGGTTCAAGACGCCTACAGCTTAGAAACATCGTCACAAAAAGAGAAGGCGACATCAGTGAGACAGATTGCTTTCGGTTTTCCCTGCCTCGTGTCATAATCAGCCATTACCCCGCAGATAACTCAGCACTAAACACTTTAAAAGGCAACTTGATTAGGAGACGACAGCATTGGTGTCCTGTAACGTCTCGAGCCAAGTACAAGGTGGATCACGTGGAATCCGACCTGAAAGGCGAGACGAACCGACGGCACTCAGTTTGGTCGTCAGCGATTTCATTTCGCACTGCAAAGTTAAGTTTTGCGCACCTGGAGCCTTGCGCCACCCTACATCTGGCAAACAAAACAAAGCCCTCCTCGGCAAGCGGTGACGGAGCATACGTTGCACGTGCCCAAGTCAACGCACCTTATTCAGTGCTCTGTTGTGCTAAGGAATTAGCTTAGTTATCAATACCTAGTACTCGCCTACGCGCATCATCGTTGCGGACACATTGGTGTCACGCGACACCGGCAATGTTTTGCAGGCAATGATCAAAGACTTGAAGTTGTCGCAGATCCTACGAGCAAAAGGGTCGTTTTACTACCGTAGTGTAGAAGGACCTTTACTTTGGCTTTGTAAACAAGGCCTTGAAGATCGATGGAAACCCCTTTCAAGCATCACAGATACCTGTTACTCTTAGTGCCGTCTACTACTACATTCCGCTTATCTAGGTGGCCCTCTTGCTTCAGTGTCGTGAGTGCTACAACGAACATTCGATATTACTGAGTAACCTTGAGCAAAGCAGCCGTCACAATGTGCTTAAAAAAGCGCAGAAATATACTTGTGTTAAACTCATTTTCCTATTATACGAAATCATATTCTAAGCTTTCCGTATCCGTATTCTCAAGAAGCCTGGCAATCGCGATATAGACATTCAATGCAACATCAGATAACACGCGGAAACAACATGCAAAATGTATGTCCAATCAAAAATAATAATCGAATTACCGCTGTACATTCTCTGAACTTTCGTAGTCGTTACACTAGAAATTACCTGAACATGCCATGACAGGTGTCTCGTTGAAAAAGAAGATATACAATTTATCATATTTCGTTAATTTGTGGGAAAGCAGTTCGAACTCTTGAACTGAGTTCAGTGCTAATGTGAACAACATTGTTGGCGTCGGTTGGTGCATCCCGACTGCCTGGCTGGGGTCCTAAGGATGATGAACCCGTTTGGTTGGACACACTTGCTGATATGGCGAAGAGCCGGCCCCAATGGCGGTAGTGTTGTGAGTTCCTTTGTCCATCCCCTCCTGCTTAGCATCCCCCTCCAATCACGATTTCACTCGTTAGGCATAATATGACTCTTTTTACGGCACGATAGCCGGCTGTTAGCTCTCCGGAACGATGTCCATCCGCTACTGGGGACCCAGCCGGTGTGCCACTGTTTGTTTTCCTTTTCTTGTCTTTTGTATTGCGGCACAATAGCTGTGTTTTCCACCTGCAGCTAACGTGTATAATGAATGAATGAATGATGATGTAGCTGGCAAGCTGATAAACTACCTTGACATTGATATCAAAAGTCAGAAAGTAGTTTAGCGGCTGGTGGTCCTACAACGCGGCATTTTGGAAGTACGCTGGACCACTCTAAGAGCCTCAGACAGCAAGACAATATCGTCCGCGTAATCAAGGTCAAGAGGTTTTTCCACCAGACAGCAACTTGAAGCCAACAATGTGCGATTCTGCAAGGGAACACTCCATGATGGATTCCGAGACAAGGCTGAATAAAAATTGGGCAACCCTGAGGAACGTCACTTGTTCACAGACAGACACCCGACAGGTCGCCGTAGACTCTGAAGCGGCCTGTGGCGTTCGAGTACGGGGCATGCAAAACAGTCACATTTGATGAGAACCATCATCGTTATTACAGGTTAGGTAAAAAAAGAGAAAAACGCCTAATCTATTAAGCTGCAATATAAAAATACGTATGGGAAAGGGAGGATACAAAATAAAAACTAAAAATAACCGATTTAGTATTATGTTACGGGAATTAGATGGTGATTGGGGAGGAAAGCTAAGCTGGAAGGGGTGGACGAAGAAACTCACAACACAAGCGCCAAGGAGATCCGATCTTCGCCATGTCCTTCGGACCACAGCCCGGCAATCGGGAGACACTGACAGACGCCAATTACGAAGTGAGGGTTTGCATACCACTTGATCAAACTATCGCATGGCCTCTCCTCTTCTTACCTTCATATCCCCAGCGTGCAAACAACATACAACGCTGCAGTTGGTATGCTGGCATGCGCAACACGTGGCCCCGCCATCGGAGCATGGCGCCTGGTGGTGCTGAGCGTTTCAATCACTTTTTTCGCACCAAAGCACACGACGCCGAACATGCTCATTGTTCACACGGTATTTCCACCAGATATGAGTTAAGCTGCGAAGGCAGCGGTGATCGAACGTAGCTGAAATCTTTATTGGCCAGGTTTCACAACCGAACGGGAGATTGGAACGGAAACTGCATTGTAAAGCCAGTCCTTCAGGGCGAGAGTGATGTCACGCCGGCGCCACAGGTGGCGCAGATTGGCGAAAACGCCTCGAGATTTTGCTATATAGCGCTAACATACGTTCCAAGATAGCTACATTTCCGGACGATTGGCTGATCACCATTAAAAGTTGGCGCAGGAGTAAGTCACTGTCAACCTCGGAGAACATTGCATTTCGAAGGTGCAAAACATAATCCAATACGAGTAACGACCAGAGCTTATGTATCTAGTGCTTTTTAGCACGTTTGACAGATGTCACAGAATAGGACAATGTAGTCGGCGTACTTTAGAGCAAAATGTCGATCACTCAGGAGCAGCTCCACACCTTCCAAATTGTGCCCAGTGAATGCAGTTTCCACGAATTCGTTGGTGGCAAAATCAAAAAGGAAAGTTAACAGCGGGCAACTTTATCTCGCATCGCTGGAAATAAGGAATTGCGACGACAGTTTGTCATAAGCCGTTACACTAACCGAACTGCGCACGTACAGTATTTTCATGACCCTTACATATTCATCAGTCACAACTTTCCTGCGCAGACGGTCACAAGGGCAAATTAATCCTCCAAATCAAAGGCACCTTTGATGCCGAAGAATAAGGCTGCGGTACATTTCAATAAATATGAGTGTTCCAACAGCTGACGCAATGGGAAGACTTGGCCAGTATATATTGGACTTCAACGAAAACCCAGTATGCTCCTCGCGAACCTTGCATACACGGGTGCCAGTCAGTCTATAGAGAATAAAAATTGAGACCAAACTGATCCCTCTATGATTGCCTCATTCGGAGAGTGAGCCTCCAATGAAAAGTAGGACTATGATGGAGTGACTCCAGTCTGTTGGGACAGTCTCCTGCTCCAACAACCTAACTAGCAGGTTGTGTAAATCATCCACATGAGCTGACTCCCAGAGAGCTGGAAGAAGTCAATCACCTCCGGCAGTCTTTTTCGATTTCAGCTGTCTGATCTCACATTCGGTTTCTGCACATGAGGGAGGATCCAAAAGGATGCCCTAGGAAGCAGGTCAGCCACTAACCGGTAGCGAGTTCATTAGTCCCGGTCGATTAAATTGCTCCTCACGTTTCTAAGCCCAACGCTCCAAGCGCTTGGACAAGCTATGAGTAGGTTATCAAATGTCGTCGCATATAGTTTCAGGAACACAGGTACCTTGCCTCCCGTTTTACCGTGTCAGAATAACTTACGATGGTTACCAAGGGCAGCAATCATTTCCATCTCCGGTGAACGGTGAGACTACCAGGTCTCACTTCAGTGAGTGGAATGTCGATATTCTGGGACTCCATGTTGTGCATGGTGCTCGGCACTGGAGTAATCATAGGATCTGTATCTGCGTGGAGCTTGCCGCCGACCGCCGCGCATGGGCAGCTGGAGTTCGCGATATTCATGAAGCCGATTCATCACGTCGCAGGAGCTAGCCGCAGTAAAGTAAAGTAAGCAAGTAAGTCTGAGGGATGTGCGACCAGTGACCCCTATGTTATATTTGCACGTTTGCTCGCTATTCCGAAGTAAACACCCAAAATTCTCCGCAAAAATCCTAGCCCAACCGAAGAAAAATCAGAAGTCCAACGAGCTTAACCGCGAAAAACGTGTTAACAAAAGGGCCATCAAAACGCTGTACAGCTGCGCCAGACCTACGCCAAATATATAGGTAGCTCAATGGTCTTCGGCTTTTAGAAAACGAATGTCAAGTGAAGAAAATAGCAGCCACCTGGCAAAACTCTGTGCGTTGGCAACCACGTGAAGTAATAAGTTTCGGAATCTTCGAAATCAATGCACAATCGAAAATAATCGATTAAGTGCTAAAATAAT